GTAGCTGTCACTATTCTCCTGGGCCTGATATGAACCTTTTCTTTAAACTATCCCATTGTGAATTTGGTTCTAGCCATATCAACGAGGACTTGATCATTGAGCAGGGCAGGGAGGCCTGCTACTCCTGTGAGGAGTCCTTCATGACTGATAATAAGATGGTGATGACTATGGGCGGCAGACATTTTTCTGAGGTCAAACTGGCCTTCCATGTCCCTACTGTAACCTGTGTGGCTGTAAAAGTTCTTCGAATGAAGAAGAAGAAGAAGAAGAACACCTCGCTTGTTGCCAAGGAAGTCCGCATCATGAAATCTCTCCAGCATCCGAACATCATTAAGTTGTTTCAGGTGGTCCAATCCAGAGACACCACCTACTTAGTGATGGAGCACGCATCACAGGGAGATCTTCTTCGGCACATTCTGGAACTGGGGTCCTTACAGGAGAGTGAGGCACGAAGGTTAGTTACCCAGATTCTCCTTGCAATGCAGTACTGCCATGAAAACCATATTGTCCATAGAGACATTAAGGTCAATAGCATACGACTTGACTACAGGGGTAACGCCAAGTTGTGTGATTTTGGACTTGCTGCTAAAATGACCCCAGGGCAGAAGCTGAGGGATTTCTGTGGCACTCTGCTCTACTGTGCCCCGGAACTCTTGGTAGAGAAGGCCTATGATGGCTGTGCCGCTGATACTTGGAGTTTAGGTGTGCTCCACTTCCTCATGGTGGTCGGGCGCTTTCCCTTCCGGGCTCGCTCTCCTAAAGGTCTGAGGCATCAGATCCTGGCTGCAAACTTCACAATACCTCAGCATGTTTCCATAGATATTTACAATGTCATCGTCAAAATGCTGATGATCAACCCAGACAGGAGGCCCACCATTGACCAAATCATGAGGTGCCCCATGATCAGGGAGCACAATAGGCGTTCACCACTTGTTTCCACACAAAAACGCCCTGGCACCATGAGCCCTGACACCGTGAGCCCTGACATTGTCGGCACCATGACAGTCCTGGGGTATAAGTCTGAGGAAATCATTGATTCTCTGAGGGACCAAAACTACAACCAGGTGATGGCCACTTACTTGATTTTCCAACACCTGTCTCCTGGGGGAGACTGCAGCCATCAGCAGGTGAAACCCATGCAGCCAGGCCATGTCCTCAAACTGGCAGATCTTCAGGCCTTCCCTGTGCCACTAAGGAGAGCTACTGAGCCTGCTCCCCTGAACTTCACCTTGCCATCTACGCCCCAGGAGAAGGAAGGTAAGAAGAATGCCAGGAGGGTTGGCACAAGGCATAGCATGCCTGCCACCCTGGGCCGCCAGTTAGCAAAGACCTACCATTCCCACCTAGTGCACCAGAACCATCATAGTGCTCTTTTCCACATGGGCAGCAGTGAGGAAATGAGAACTTCTCTGATTCCAAGATCGGGTCAAGTGGCTGCCAGATGGCTAGTGTCCAGCCATCTCTCTTAATGGACACTGTGTCTAGTAGGCCACGCAACCATGAGACCACATGTGACAATGGAAACATGTCTTCCTGCAGTAACCTAGAGGAACTCTGGAGCTCTGTGAAGACAGCTCAGAGTATAACCCCCAGAGGCTCCT